TCCGGGGTCCACCTGCCACCGCCGTATAGCTTCTTGTGTCGTATCTTCAGCGTCTCCCAGGAGGCCGTCAAATCGCCCTGTACCAAAGTGTTAAAACCCAACGCAAGATACGACTAATCAAAGAGGCCGCCAGTATTTTTACGTCGGATTCCAGTAGCGTGCCTGTCTCCTGTCTGGTGGTTATCAAAGTTTTAATTTGGTTACCACCTTTGATGAAATGCTCGAGGTCACCTACTACTCCCGTAAATGGTTTTAGCTGGCTAATTACCTCGTGGATAAATGCCGAGTTCTGCGTCCTTATCTTAAGTAACTCGATCTGTGTGTTTTCGGTCGCTTTCTATTGCTTTGTTTCTAGTTTCTGACGTTCCGCTTCCAATTTCTGTCTCTCCACCGTAGACTGAGCAAGTTGGTACTCCAGTTTCTTCAATTCTTCTTCCATCGTAATTAATATCCGTAACTGATTAGAAGCTTGCCTGGGTTCGCCTGGTGATTTTTCTTAACTTCACGATACTATTAGCCGCGCGATAAAAATTCGGAATTCCTCCCGGGTTTCGGCATCACTTATGATTAGACTGAAAGAATAAACGAAAAAAAGGAGGTGTTTCGTGCAGAATAACGGTACGCAGGTAAAAGAGCAACTGACTTTATTATTCTCTTCATCCTTTATATATAGATACAGTTTGTTTGTAAGCATAAAGGTTTCTTAATCCTTAAAGTACAGAGTTTCTATTGATATTTACCGCTTATATACAGCTAACTTATATATATATATATATATATATATATATATATATATATATATATTATATATATATATATATATATATATATATATATATATATATATATATATATATTCATCCTTTATATATAGATACAGTTTGTTTGTAAGCATAAAGGTTTCTTAATCCTTAAAGTACAGAGTTTCTATTGATATTTACCGCTTATATACAGCTAACTTATATATATATATATATATATATATATATATATATATATATATATATATTTATATATATGAAAAATAGTAGGCGGATGCAAGTAATGAATATGGATCAACAAGAAATAAATGAACAGTGATATTTGACAATAAACGTTATTATCTCATATATATTTTTATTATTATTTACATTTATTCCTACGCACTTCAGGGGTATAAAACATTTATAAACTAACTCGTATCTACTATACCAGTATAGTTGTTGAAAAACCTTACACTAAAAGAAAAACTGTCCAATGCCATAATTGCCAATCTTATGGCCATACTAGAAGCTCCCTTGTCACTGCTTACCTCAGTGCGCGAAGTGCGGACAACAAAACAAGTCTGAAAAATGCACCGAATCCAGGCAAACTCCTTCAGTGTGCGGACTATGCCATAGGTCACCCTGTAAACTGTAAGGGATGCCGAAGCAATAATATCTTGAAATCAAGAACACAGGTAGCACATAGACAGAAAGAGACACCAGGACTAGACATGTGACCAATGAAGTATCCTATGCTGAAATGCTAGGAGAGATGGAAAAGACTATTCCTCAGGCCCTGTCGAAAACTCAACCACAATCTCATAATCCACCACCCCAACACAATAACACCCTAAACTCCAGTTATCATCAAATCTCCTATATTCCTTCTCTCAACAATTCCAATAAGCTCATCAGTCTCCTTGCTTCACCCCCTCCGAATCCAGATATCTCACGCCCGCTTATCTCCTTACTTACAAATGACATATCCAATATTATCCCAACGCCAAGAATTGCTTAAATGTTCTCAAATTCGCTTTCCGTTCTTCTATGGAATGCTAATGATGTTCGAAATCACATCAATTAACTACCTGTTTTTTCACAGGACAATAACATTGACATAACCCTAATAAACTAAGACCCAACTGACTAACACTCGTTAACTTACATGGTTTCAAGATTTATCTAACTGACCACCCTGATGGAACAGCACATGCTGGCACTGCTGTCATCATCCGTCCCTCTCCCATCATTCGTACCCTTTACCGGTCCACAATTTTCTACAAACACAGCAATAATAATTTTAACTTCAATTTTTCCTGTTACAGTTGTCATAGCATACTTTCCGTCGTAAATACCAATACCTGTATCTCATATCATCCCCTTTCTTAATTCCTAGGGATACGACTTCCTTATGGGTGCAGACCTTAATGAAAAACATCAGCTTTGGGGAGTCAGAAGCACGAATTCCTGCGGGCGAACATTGCTGTCTGCACTTAATTCTCACAATAGCAACATTATTTCCTCTGATACTCCTACATACTGGCCAACTGATCCCAACCGTAATGCTGACCTCCTTGACTTCTTCATTCACAAAGGTCTAGGACCGCTAAAATACCCAGTTTTACGACTCGATGAACTTTTCTCAGACCACAGTTCACTAAATGTAACTCTTTCCGCATCTCCTATTCCCATTTCTTTATCTTCTTCCTCATTCATAAGAGGCCCAGTCAACTGAAATATTTTCTGCCAAACAATACTAGATGCTATATACCTCAGAGTATCAGACCTAGATAATCCAGTGAGTTCCTACACCACCTTGATCCAACAATCAGACTGGACTACATCCTCACCACTCCCCTCCAAAAAATACCGTTAAAAGAATCCTTTGCCCCAAGACCTCACTGATTTTATTAAATCCAAATGTCAATGTAGTACCCTTGTTTGTTTGTAGTACTCTCTGGCTATCTGGCAAAGAACCAGGCATTCTGAAGATTGGAAATCATACGATTATTATCCTAAACTTAAAAAAAAAAAAAAACTGGCTTATTTTTCTCCCCTCTCTACTGATGATAGTTATCAGCAGAAGAGTTTTTCAAACACCTATCAAAAACATTAACACACCCCAAACTCAATCCCACCCACACTGCTGAAGTTGAAAAATTCCTCTTTTCTCAGATTCCTCTCTCCTTGCCTCCTACAGCTGTCAACCCCTCTGAAGTCAAATTCCCTATAAACAACCCCAAATTACCGAATACGAAATGCTCGTGGAAGAGTAGATTCGGAAAGTAAAAATAACCCAACAAACAATGGAACACGACTGGAAGATTTCGTAGTAGTAAACCGGTGAATCTAACGATTCCTAAGGAATCATCCAACTGAATCGATAAATCGACTGGATCGAATAACCGAGTTTGTTCTAGGAAATCTTCCTGCCTTATTTCATTGTTTGCTTAGTTGTTTTGTTCACATTACGAATCTACTCTTCCACTTGCATTCCACACTTCAGACTTTTATAACCCATGTTTTTTTATATCACAATTTGTTTATTTTTTTCTCCCTGTTTGTTTTATTTATATATGTGTACAGTTATTTTCTCTCTATTTTATTTTTAATTGCTTATTATTATGTAAATATTTAATTTAACATTGCACACTTCAGATATAACCCAGCTTTGATGCCTCTTGTTTGTCAGCACATGGTCGATTAGGCTTTTTGCTTCTTTACCCAGGCATACTTGTGTATGTACTTGTGCAGGAACATCGTACTTCTTACAACTAGACCTTTAGCTGCTGCCAGACTAATACATCTCACTCCATTGTCATTGCTAGTTTCGGGGAACCTTTGGCCTCCGATGATAGGCTTAAATTGGGTTTCTATCTCGGCATTGAATTCTCCCATGACTAATTTTATGTCATATTTTGGAGCCTGTTCCACAACATTTTCTAACTGATCGTAGAAATCGCCCTTCACCTCATCCTCTTATTCTTCGGTCGGTGAATACGCGTTAATAATCGTGATATTAAACCAACGACCTCTTACGCGCAGCACACTTACCCTTTCGTTAACTGGGATGAAGTTTATTACTGACTTCCTTGTGGCCGGATTAACTTTAAATCCAGTGCCAGCTGTTCCATTTTTGTCATTTTTCTCGGTGTAGAACAGTGTGTACCCGTCTATTGTTGTTTCCCCTCCATCTGGCCACCTTACCTCTTGAATGGCTGTTAACGGTATGTTGTACCTTTTTACTTCATTAACTATCGTTTGGACGGTTTCTGGTCTGTATAAGCTACGAAAATTCCATGATCCGATATGGAGTCCGTTATAGGAAGCCGGTGTCGTTACCATGTTAAGACAGATTTTTCGAGGCTGGTTTTTGGTTTCCTAATATGGTGTTTTTGACAGGATAGGGTTATTAGAGCCAACTCCCAACCTGGAGGACCAGGAGCTATGTCTACCGCAGGGTCAATCACTTCCCTGCGATGTGAGTTGCCTCAAGTAGCCTGACGGATCTCTCATACCCGAGGGGGAGAGGAATCTCGGGCAGCGTGTCTTTCCGTGGTGGACGGTCGCCCAAATCGGGCGGTCAATTATTCAAGTACTGACCACGCTCGACGTTGCTTAACTTTGATTACCTATTGCAAGCGCCTTAGCCCGTACGGCATATATATATATATATTTATCGGTAATAAGAGGCCAATAGGTAATAATTTACTTGTAGTCCGATCTGCTCTGCCTCTCTTATCAGAGTCGGAGCGAGTTTCTCAATGTCCTCTAGATTAGTTAAAAGGTCAGATTTACCATCTGTGTATCCAAGGATTTTGTGATTCATTCCGAAGTGGACATGTCCATTTTCCTGTGATGATGTTCTTATTGCCTTCTCCAGGGATAAGTCCCCTTCTCCCTGCCGTAAGCCCGTTGGCACTTTGAAGGCTTCAGATAATTATCCTTATCTTAGGACTCTACATTTGGGGTAATTTGAACCTTCGTCAATCTCACCAACTCACCGGGAACTCCCAGTTCAGTCATGATTTTCCAAAGACAGTTCTTGTCCACAGAATCATAGGCTGCTTTGAAATCGACAAATAGGGCGTGGACGTCCTGAGCTACTTTATATATATATAATAACGTTGTATCAAGTAATGTGGGATTATAACCTAAGCACGATTAATATTACAGTAAATTTATATATTAACTAGATTTATAAGCATTGCTTACAATTTAATATTAAAAAACCAGAATGAAAACTAAGGAAAGAAGCCTGTTACCCAATAAAATACTAGTACAACTGCTAACAAACATAATAAAATATGTTATTCATGTTATACCTTAGCCTCTCACTAATTTTGGAATCTCCTTGCGTTGTTTGGGTGTCGCTAAGCTTTTGTAACCTACCTTCGATATGGAGGTACTGTTTTTATTTATTATTTCATTTTCTTATGTTTTTCCATCAAATATACCACCACCCCGAAAGAAACCTCCTGTGTTAGTTCAAAAATGTTGTAAAAAGGGTGAAATTTTTATTGACAAAAATTGTGCTCTAGTTAATGAAACTAGTGAAACAGAATGGGAACCTCAGTTTATGGATGAGAATGGAAGACCTGTTTCGAATATTCATTATAAAATTTTAACTGGTATCCCTTCTTGTGGAAATCGACAATCATGGGAAGTTTACCATAAAGCTCTTGACAAACTTAGACTCTTACCCGATGGTAGTTTGAGGCACTACACCATAACTGCTGAACAAGGTATTTCAGATGAAGAATTAAATCAAGAAGAATTTTTGCATCATGACTACCGTCTAGGGTTTTACTGCAGTGAAAAGGTATCTTATCTCATTGTTTGCTGCTTTATATAATTTTCTGAATTAAGATAGTCTATGTATTAACAGTTCAGTAGTGCAATAAGTTAAGAAATAACCTATCAAGCAGAAACTTGTATTCTTTAAATTTTGGTTATACTTCAATTACTCATCCTTCATCTGGCATTTAGATTGTATTTATAATTTATCTCTTCTTTAAAACTTCTCATTCATCTAAATCCTTCAAAAGTTTCAGTAAAACTCCTATAACTTAGTTTTGTGTTAGTTTCTTTTTATTTACACTGTTTGATGGATACTCCAAGTTAAATAGTTGTATGATGTATTAAATAATGATTTATGTAGAAACATAGTTGGCTCTAAAACCTTTTGAGATCAGTAGTTGAAATACAAGTCCATTTGCAGTAATTTAAATGCTTCACATATAATTTTTTAGTTCACCACAAAATTAATAAATTATATTAAAAATAGTTTTTTTTTTTTTTTTTTTTTTTTCTTATGCCAGTGGTTGGTCATTTGGCCATCCGACATCTTGCTGCCCAGTATAATTTAGACTTTCTTATATGTATATTCGGAAATATTTTGTCTCTTATGTCCCTCAAGGCAGGACATGCGTCTAGATGGTCTGCATCCATTGTTCCTAGATGACACAATTTACAGGTAGGATCCTCAGCGACGCCTATCTTGTAGAGATGACTCTGCAGATAGTCGTGACCAGTAGCCAGGCGGAAGCAACTATTAAAAATAGTGGTGTAACTAATGAACGGTATAAATATTGTTACCCATAGAATGAAGAGTATGAGAAGTTGGTTTCAGTTAAAAAAAGAAAATCTTAAGCTACAAATATTTATTTTCAAAGAAATGATTATATTGTATAACAACTAGTTATTTACAGTACCTCGCAGTTCTATCACATCAGAATTGGATAAGGGAACTGTTCTATCCCTGGAAATTGGATTGTGAGCCCAGTACTGGGCTCACAATCCAAAATCTAAAATTGTTAAAAATTTCTTTATATTTATTTGTACAAAAATTCTTAAACATATAAAATAAACAATAATTGAATATTTAAAAGGGATGTAATTTAAATCAAATATAATACCTTATCTTTTTGAAATAGTTAATTGTTTTATAATTATCAGACCACAATTATTAAATACTTTTATATTTAAATGATTTTTGTTTTATAGCTCACATTCAATGGTGATACCTTTGATTATGCAATAGTTTGTCCACCTGATATTTCAAAGACGTGGAAAGATACTGACTTCATTCTTCGCAAAATACTGGATCCAGTTTTCCATATCATAGCCATCTTTTGCTATGTAACAGTGGCAATTGTTCATTTTGTTTTGCCACAGTTACGAGATATGGTTGGAAATATTATTACAACAATGTGTGTTTGCTTGATTATTGCTCAGGCTGCAGATACATGCAGAATATTTACTGAGTTTACCAGTCCAGTTGGCTTTTTGGTTGCAGGTAAGAGAAAAGATACAGAAAACATAATTCTATTCTATTTATATCGACAATTTTGTTTGTTTGTTATCAAACAAAAGCATGAAAGACCTTGTAACTAATTACTTCTTATTAATTATTTCTTCTCATAATCATTAAAATCTTTATAACAATTTGAAATTGTTTGTTAATCATATTATAGTGCTTCTCACTTATATAATTGAAGTGAGATTGCATTTTATAAATAATAAAAAGGTTCATATTTAGCACATATATAAATTATATTAGCACATTTTTGTTTTGTTTTTATTTATTTATTTTTTTTTTTTTTGTGTGTAATAATTGAAATTATAATGAGCAACACTCTAGGTTATTAGAAAATTATGAAATAAATTTGTATAATAAATTACTAAGAAACCGTGATGTTGCAGTTTTACAATGAGAAAAATACAGGTATAAAGAAAACTTGTCTTGTAGATGGATTAAGGGTCCAAAACGTTGATTATGGAATTCAATTAATTAATAGTTTATTTTGAAAATGGGTGATATTTCTTCACAAAAAAATAAAATTATAAAATCTTGTATCATAAATCGATGAAACTTCAGGGAATAATTTGTTTAAGAAGAAACTATTGTGATACGCTAGGGAATGAGATTATTTGTAGATAATACTTAGTATTTATGGAATTTTATAATCTTTTTTACCTTTAATAATCAAAATGTGATTGGGTAAGAAAGATTAGAGAAAAAAAAATTGAAAAACGAACCATTATTATTCTAAAAGAAATTAATTACATCGTCGTTTAGTAGCGTGTGTTTCTCCCTCTTGCCTTCACTACTTCTTAAAGATGCATACTTTACTTTGGTATACTTTCCACCAGTCGGGAAATGTCCCTAGGATAGCCCATTCCTCCCGAAGAGCCCTTTCAAGGTCCTGCAGTGTATCAGGAAGTGTTTCACGCGCACTTATTCATCTTCCGCGGTTATCCCATAAATGCTCAATGGGGTTCAAATCTGGAGAATATGCTGGCCAGGCTAAAACCTCAATATTGTTCTGTTGAAGGAACGTCTGCACTATGCGGGCGACATGTGGGCGTGCATTAGAATAGAACGATCGCCGATTTCGTTGAGGATAGGCAACAGATGAGGTTCCAAAATCTCATCTACATAGCGAATGGCCGTCAAAGACCTTCCACGAACAACAACCAATTCTGTGCGGCACTCCATTGAAATCCCAGCCCACACCATTAAGGAACCACGTTGGAAAGGTTGGTTCTGAGAAAAATTACAGACTGCATATCTTTCGTTTCTTCTTCTCCACACCCGAATCTTGACTCATCTGTAAAAAGTTCAGCACTCCATTCGTCCATAGTCCAATGGCTGTGTTCTCGAGCAAAAGCCAGCCGTGTTACTCTGTGAGTTCTGGTCAACTCTGGTTCTCTTACTGGACGAAAAGCCATTAATCCATACTCATTTAATCTTCTCCGAGCAGTACGTTCAGAAATTTGCACACCTTGAACTTCTTCGAACTGATGAATCGCTTGAACAATGGTAAGGTGCCGGTTTCGTAAAATTCTTAAAGTCAAAAACCGGTCATCGCGTGGTTCTGTTACCCTAGGCCATCCAGAACCAGGATTTCTGTTGTAAGAACCAGTTTCCCGAAAACGCCTGACGGCGTCTCGTAAAGTTTTATATGGAACTCCGATGGCATTAGCTGCATATCTAATGGAACGTCCATCATCAATAAATGCCACACCATGCGCAACATCCTCAGCACTAAGAGGCCTTTTTAAACTTAATATTGAAAAAATTAAAAGCCGGAGACTAAGAAATGTGCTGCAAGAAACGGCACTGAACTAATGATATTGAATAAACATTTTAATTCCATAGAAAGTAAACATCGGAATCTAGAATCATTTCATTGAATTGAGGATTAAGGGTTATTGTCCTCTATATTAACATTCCTAATTGAAAACAAACAAAAAGATTACCTATTTATTCATTGAAAACAATAGACCAATCCAAAGCAGAAATATTTTTAGATGAAAACATGAAAAAAAATCAAGTGGGTGGAATTTTTTGCCTGTCAGTGTATATACAAATGCTTTAGTGATAATTCACTTGGCAAGCCAAGATACCAATCCGTTATGTTTGCTTTTTTTATCGTCTTAATAATGCTATCTTACTGTTTAAATTTCACAACTTTGTTATACATTTCAGTTTTCACTCTTTATTGTTAAAATCAAGAGTCATTGTTTAATAAACTCAAGTAAGCTGAATATAAAATTGTTCAAATGTAGGAGTTCTTCTATTTTATTAGAAATTTAATTTAACATTCTATAATTCATAATTTCTTTTTGTTTTCTATTTAATGTTACTTTTATTTCACAAAATATATTTTTGTCCAACTTAAAATTATAATTTTCCATCAACGAGGACTTACAATCAGGATAACTCAAAAAGAAATTAAACATTCTATTTGTGGAATTCATTATTATTATTATACGGCTCTACAACCCACACCCTGAGTCTTGGCCTGTTGCAGCAATGACCGCCAGTCATCTCTGTTTTGTGCTGCTGCCTTCCAGCTGCGAATGTAAACTCACCTCTCCTCGATTGAACAGTGGTGCAACAACTTGCGCATCAAAATCAATGAATCAAAGTGCAAAAAATATCCCTTTCACCCTTTCGACGTAGATCCTGTCCACCAATCCTTTTTAATTCAATACCGCTTCCCCACTTAATTCAATACAGTCCATTACCTTGGCTTCCTTCTAGACAAAAGACTAACTTGGAATCTACATACCCTACTTAAAAGACAAGAACTTAACTGACGTTTTGTTCAGCTGTACAGACTACTAAGCAGAATATCTCATCTTTTGACTGAAAATCTACAAGACGAGGCTGATACCTATCTAGACTTACGAACATGAACTGTGGGGAACAGCTAAATATCCTAATATCAAACGTATCCAATCTTTCCAGTCCAAAGTACTCAGAACAATAGTCAGCACTCCATATTATGTCACAACCAAGACCTTACACCATGACCTTAACATCCCATTTGTCCTAAGCATCATTCCATCCAGATTTTCAAACTTTCACCACAGCCTTATTCATCATCCAAATCCTCTAGTTCAATCCATATCCAGCTTCGACCATCCCTACAATCCTCCCTGAAGGTTAAAATGGCAGTGGTCCTGAGATCTCTTGTAAATATGCTTCTGGAGTCCTGCCAATGGTCAGCTTCTCCACTCAAGTCCTGAGCGTCTATGGCTCTACTAATGCCCTCCTTCAGTCTATACTGTCTTAATCACTGACGTGGCTGGAAGAGAGGCACTGGGATCTTCTGGAATGAATGAATGTGTTAAGAAGATTTACTTTATTTTTACTTATTGATTTATTTATTATTTCACTTATGCATGTTATTCTATTTTTATATATTCTTCTATTATTTTTTTTTCTTATTTTTTTTTATTTATTTATCTTTTTAATTATTCTTATCTATTTCCCTATTATATGTATTTATGGTATGAATGAACAGATTTAGCCTTAGCACTTATTGCCCATCATTGTGGCAGATTGCACTATTTACTATTCAATACAAAAAAAAATAACGTTAACATAACAAATGATATCTTGGCTTGTTGTTAATTGAAAATAATATTAATTTAATTATATATTACATCTACAGTGTCTGCAAAGTTAAATCAGTTTGCAATTAAGAAGATAAAAAACTTTTAAATTGAAACATTTACCATTTTTATAAAATTCTGGTTTGCTGGAAGACTTTTTCACACCAGTGTATATATTAGTTATTTCATTATTTAACATTATATATATACACATATATATCATACACAAGCATAGTTAATTCATCAATATTGTTTTCAGACATAATAATGTTTATCAGCTTAATTGGAGCTTACTTTTGGTTAGCTAGTTTTGGATTTTATATCTGGAAAACATTTAGGTAAAGATATTTCATTCATTTTTAGTACTTGATACTTGTCTAGGTTACATTTGTATTTATTTATTTACTTTTATACAGGTCTCCAAATGTATTTCTAAGGATTACTGATGGAAGAAAGTATTGTTATTATTCTTATTGGGTCTGGTCTGCAACCATAACGATGTCCATAGTGGCAACATTCTCTCATTTCACTTTAGATATACCTGATCCTTCTGAAAAACCTGGTACACCTATTGCTCAAGGAACTGCATTAGGTATGTACTTATTATATATATATATATATATATATATATATATATATATATATATGTTTTTTTGTTTTAAAAAACAAAAAAAAAATAATAGAGGTGAGGAAATAAAGTATATAATCTCTTATAAAAAACCACAGGTGTCTATTGAATATTGAATATGAAATATTACAAATATAGAACCAAAGATATATAATAAAAATGTTTGAGATGTTTTTCTTTATTTCTTCCTTAAAAAGAAGTGAATTCTAAAAGTTATTTATATGTGGTATAAAGTTTGAAAAATAATAATAAGTGGAAAGTAATCATAAAAAAAATAATTTGAAAATACAACAAAAAACCAAACTATGATGAATTCCTTTTCAGTCCAAGTAAAGGAAATTATCCATATCCTCGTCAAGTCATTGCCATAAAAAACAATCCGGTTTCGTCTTTGTGTTTCTTTTAATCATTTTCGTTCAGAGATGTGAGGGATTGGCCCACAGTCCCCTATTGCAGTGGAGGGAATGCCTCCTTAAAGTAGCTACATCTACCTTGTGGCTTCAGAGTTCTAAACAGAATATTTAACTGCTACTTCCTGAGACGGTCAGATAGTATGACCCATTGAGGTTACCACATTTACAGATCATTTAGCCAGTATAATACTGTTACCAAGGAGCACCACGCAGAGGCGATCTGTCTTCACTCCCTTAAAAATTATAAGGGAAATATACAAAAAATTGTGCTCACCTTATTGTCGCACATGAGGGCTCTCCTCAGAATCGAATCTGCTCTCGACCTGCAGCTCTGCGATCTGAATCCACGACCATGAGTGACTTAACTTCACTCTTTATTTTCTTTAAATTTCTCATCTCAAACTTAGAGGGCTAATTGCATTAAATCTTAGTCTGGTTTTGTTTTGAACAAAACCTAATTTCAACAGGAAGTAGTAAGTGTTATGGCCGTATAACTTAAGTGCAGTATAACTTTCATGCCGATCTGTATTTGTTACTTTGTACTGTGCTTAATATTCAAAGCTGTGGTGTTAGACTCAACCAACTGTGTCTTAATAGGACGAAACGCTGTTTCTGAAATTAGCTAAACAGATTCGCAGTATTTAAAAAGACGGACACTTCAAAAACGTCATCAAAACTCTCCGGGGTCAGGATTTAATTCACCTAACAAGAAAAAAAAAAATCAGTTAAACCTAAACAGTTAGCAGAGCAAAATAAATCGAATAAATCTAAAAAGTCAAATGAACAAAATAAATCTCCTAAAACTAAACATTCAGCCTAGCAAAATAAATCACCACCTCAAACCAGAAGCAAATCAATTACCATAACACCAGAGCCAACTGCACCAACCACCATTACCACCAATAATCCTGTTCCCGTTAATAAATCATTAAACAAAATTCTGGAACCTCAAGTGTTTTCTGAGCTCTAGCCGCCACCTATTTTTGTATCTAAAATTGATAATTTCATCACATTTGGTCAAGGAATTGCTGATTGGACTGACCAATATCCACTGTTTCTCCAGAGTCAATGACATCAAGATGAACAACACAAGTTCTAGAGAAAATTACAAAACGCTGATAAATTATTTCACATCCAAAAACTATGATTTTCATTGTTATCAGTTAAGATAAGAAAAGCCATATCACCAAAAAAATTTGATTGAAGTCGGTGACCAACTGACTCTACCTCACCTTGTTAGTTCACATTTGATGAACACTTCATCAAATATTTTAATATATATGTGCTTTTGAAGGAACAGTAACTATTTTTTAATTACTGATTTTCTTATTGAGCAGTATTCTTTACGCTTCAAGGGATGTACAATTTTTCATAGAGTTTAGTTTCCATATTTCAGAAGAATTTTTTCAAAACACATTGATAAAGATCCATTCTCCAATTGGAGACAATGATGCTGAAGTGAAATGTGAATTCATTAATAAATTATATAAGGTATATTATGAACTTTTTTAACAATGTATGAAAATAATATTAGGAAATGAAAATAAGATCAGACTTTTAAACTTAGGTATTTCAAAAAATCTATTAATTCAAACTCTACTTTTAAATACAAGTATATTCGAAAATGTATGTGAATATCACGACATCCACAAACCAAAAATCAAGTTGATCAAATTTTGTTACAGAGTAGGTAGCTAAGCAGTATAATACTAATTATAAAAATTGAAAAGAAAATACTGAAAATGTCAAAAAAATCATGCTTAGTAGCCAAGTTTTCCTCCTCAAAAAATTAATTAAGGGTACCTACGTTTTAGAGGTTGGGTTTACTCCAGGAGGATCTCCCAACCCCAGGGTCCGATCCACGCCTGATGTAACAGAATAAATAATTATCTGCAACAGCCGGACTCGAACCTGGTACCAAGAGCATAGGAGCACAGTGCCTTACTGAGCTACTCCACTCCTGGAAAGGTTTAATTCAGAGAAAAGCTTTATATAATGAAAGAGTTTTGCAATTGAAATAATGAATGGATATGATGTTCTAGAAACTTTAGAGTAGAGTAATACTGGAACGAACAAATTTCAGGAAGATATTAAGGATAATATCAAATAGGACAGTAAAGCTACTTTATCTAAAAGAATAGATAATACGAATAAATCATGGTTTGATGAAGAGTATCTAAAACTGTGGCAAACATAAAACTGCTAAATGAGATGTTCTAAGTAATCCTAATTTTTCATAACTCTTCTGTATGAATTAATAAAAGATAAATATTAAAAATACAGCAAGCTTATCATGTCCAATATGTACATATAAACCTGTACATTTTTACCTAATTTAAATTACTATATATATATATATATATATATATATATATATATATATATATATATATATATATATATATATTATTTTTTTTATTTTGCACCTTTCTAGTATTGTATCATTTCTACTGTAGATCATAATATTTTATAATTTCTTAAAAATTATTATGTGGCCTTAGTCCTAATTATTGCATTGTTTTTTTCGTTAAAATGTATAATAAATGTTGAGATAATCTTGTTATATTTTAATAATATTTAACTTCTTTATATTTATTAACTTTCTTTCAATTTTTCTCACCATATTCCTTGTTAATGATCAAGTATCAATGTATACAAATGTTTATTTATTTAATTTTTAGAACCTTATTTTATATTGTTTCTTTAATTTTTATAGGTTTACTGGGCATTGCAGTTTTTTTTTCTCCTGTTGCATGCACTGTATTAGCAGATATTTATTTTTATTTGTCAACTCTTCAAGTAATGAGTACAGTGGAATCATATGGTAGAATTCATCATAAATTAAAATACTGGTTGGTAACTAATTTTAATTAAATTGAAGATATATTTGATTCACATTTTTCTAACTATATCATTTTATTGTTTCAGCTTTGAAACATTCATTAAAATATTTTTGATAATGGCTGTCAGCTGGCTGTTTCTGATGTTGTCATGGCTTCCTTATTCAGGAATGTACTACTGCTACATTTTTATTAATGCTTTAGAAGCACCACTTATACTGTATATTAGTGTCTTAAGTCAAAGGAGAGTTAGGTTTCTCTTACGAAAAGTTTGTTGCTTTGAAAAGTGTGTTTGTCCTTGTTTCCGTCCAAATCAACCCAATGATGTGCCTGAGTGGGGAGAAGAAATGATGGCAATGAATCGATAATAATTGAAAATATTTATTAATAAAAACAAGATTCTTGGCATCCAAGACCATTTTAAACAATTGAAGTATTTTAATCTCCAAAAGTAAATTGACTTTCAATTTATTTATTTTTTTATTCGTTAAAAAGGAATAACTTAATTGATTGAATGGTGAAATGCACTGTAGTTGTGTTTGAAACCAATTCTACAACTGTAAATATGATATTTAACATAAAAACAAGTAAAATGATTTATATCATTGGAAATGAGATATTATTAGAATATAAATTAAGTCTGAAAATGTGATTTTTCTATGTCAGTGTATATATATTTTATATGCGTATTATAATTTTTTAATTATTGATAAAGAAATTACTGCAGAATCTCTTACTAAGTGATATATAATTTTCTTCGTAGATTATTTTTTATTAATAAGATAAATAAATGTTTTGTTTATTATTTTAGACATTCAACTCATCTATTTAGTATGTATAACTAATATTTAACTCTCAAGAGGTCATTTTAAATATTATATATATTTGTTAGATATAATCTAACACATTTATATACTAAACATTTCAAAGCTTGTTATAAATAGCTGCATTATGTGTTAAAGTATATTGTATTTTTGTATGACTAAATGATACATTAGAGATAGCACCAACTCTATTTGTACTTGGTACATACTAAACTTTAGATTGGGGACTTTATAAAAAATACAAAAACTGAGTTTGAAGCTTAGCAAAGGTTTTTTATATTTGTTAGATTTAATTTTATACATCAATAAAGTAAATTTATTAAATCAATTTAATAAAGCAGACAATGATGGCTAAAATTGTAGACTATAGATGCTATAAAATTATATGAATCAAAAGTGTCGGGTTTATTTATGGCTAGGTTTATCGTATCAAACTTAATTCAGTCAATTTAAAATATATTTTTTAGGGTGTATTGCTCAGCCATTTGTTGATGTTTTCTCTAGGTGCCATAAGCTTATTATCATAAAAATATATCCAATCAGCTGTTCTCATCCTTACCTGATTTCATCGGATAATACATTTTTAATTATTAATTAATTCTCCGGTTAATTCATCCTTCTTCGGTCCGAATAATCTACGCAAAAACATTTTTAATTAATGATCCGTAATTATTATTATTGTACAAAAGTGTCTCCTTTACATCAGACAGGTCTAACCCTCTAAGTGGATTTATAGAATCCTGTGATCAGCTGCATCATCCAATCTAAAACAGAATTAAAGTAATCCTCCCACTTTTCGAAGACCTTTCCTTTGTATATGAGCAGATTGTTGTATGAGATCATTCTTGGCCTCAAGGTTTTTTGACTAGCTTACACTTGCTTTTAAATATTTTTTATGAATTAATGAACAAAAATAACATTTCCTCCATTGTCCTATCTAATTTTATTACTTTTTATATGGCACTATCCCCTTTGTGAGGACTGAACCTCCTTCCACATTAATTACCAGTTACCACTATTCTTTACTCTCAGTTTCCAGTTCTGGATCTCAAGGATGATGGAGCACACCATTATTTTTTTTTGTAATCTGATCCTCAGATATTTTATGCTGTCATGTCTGGTGCAGTAAAATTTAAATGGGATTACTATATCAATATCCCCATAAAGCTTCATCTCAATATTATTCCAATATCATCAGAGTCCATTTGAACATGGCATCCCAAAGATTCTCTTCAGGAACTGCCTTTTATATCTTACCAAGGTCATTTCGGTTTTTAGTCTTACATTCTGCAGCATATATGAGCACTGGCCTTATCAGTGTCTTATGTAGACCAATATTTCTAGTTTCGGATTATATTCTACTCTGAATTTCCTAGGCTATGTTATTTTAGGAATCAATCTAAGATCCTAATTTCTCCATCTCTTGAAAACATACTGCTAAATATGTATGTTGAGTTTTCTTTCATGAGGGCTGTACTCTTGTTTCGTTTTTTACTATTCATACTGCCTCCTTGTATAACTATTTTTATTATTCTCTTATCAATTTCAGCACACAAGAATATATATATAGGTTATACTAAGAGTTGAGGTACAGATTTTACTATTCATCTTGGGTTAATTTTTTCTATTCATTTAAAGTTGCTTATAAAACTTTAGTACATGAAAAACATGCATGACCTTTGTGGTAATTTTTTGGCCTCTGGAGAGATTATCCGTTAATTTTGTACAACTTCATTACTAACCTTTTTTATTTTCACTGTATTTATTTATTATTATGAAAGACAAATGTTTTCTAAAATGTATTTTTTGTATTTGGATATAATCCATTTAAAAAAACAAATAGGCTTTATATTTAATGAACATGATTTATTATTTATTTATTTATTTAGTGTTAAATAAGAATTTTATTATATATTACTTTAACAAAATAATAATTACAGTATTATTTTAAAATATTCTTTATAAAAGGGTATGTAATCATAATTTTCTATTTTCTCGATGATCAATTCCATTTTAGGTGTAAATTTCTTAAATAGATATTTATTAATTTATTATATTAATAAATATAATAGCTACATTCCATAATTTATAATTTTATTGACTATCGGCTTCTGAAAACTTAATGTAATTTCAATGTATTTTCTATATTCCATTCATTGCATTTTGTTTCATTTTATTTTGAATTTTCTTAATTATTAATTATAGTTAGACTTTAAAAAAGAAATGTGTTATAATTGTATAGTAGTCTATTATTTTGCCAAAATTTTTATTATTTAATTGTATTAAGTATATTTATTTGACATAGTCACTGTTTTTAATAATTTGGCTTTAATTGATGTATTTTATAATTGACTTGAATTGTTTTTAAACCATAGTGATCAAAATACTGATTATACTTCTATTTTTTTATTTTAATGAAGAAGATATATACATAGAGTATAAATATGATGAGGTTATAGTTTTAATTATTTTTGAACTGAGAGGATATTTTGTTGGTTGAACCAAAGGTACAAATTAATTTTATTTAATATATTTTTTAGACAAAATAATGAATATTATTGCTTAAAATTAATGAAATTTTATATATTCGATATATAAATATTGAACAAATCTATGTTCTAAAAAGTTTCTTTTGTAGAATAAAATAATTTATGATTTTTATAAATCCAAAATAAATAACATGTATATTTTGTAAATTTCAGAACTTTACTTGAACCATCTATTGCAACTTTTGACCAACATTGTCTTTTATATCAAATGACAATACATTATGTTCAATGAACACATGTGCCTTAATTTTCGCTTATGTGTATAAAGATATTACATTATCTTATTATTAGAATAGAAATGAAGTGAGACGGTGGTTTTCTCTAATCACTAAAGTGATTTTTTAATTGTTATTTAAACAATCATATTTGTACTTAATAAAATTATTTAAATATTTTATATACTAATCATATTTTCATGATAAAACATGTGATATTAAAGTATAACAGTAAATGATTTAATAGTGAAAAAAAATGATTTTATAAACTTACCATGTATAATTTTTCACAAATTATTTTTAATAAAAACGTTTTTTGAAATATTTATTCTGTGCAAGTTTCTATCTTTACAGGAAATCTTATCTAAACCTTTTTCTTCTTTTTTTAACACATTGTTGACCGGTTACAAGTTAGCTTGTCTTTTAATTCCCAGACGTTGTTGGCCGACAAGTTACCTCGTCATTGCACTTGCATTATTCTATATTCTATGACAAAATAATAGCTGGTTATATGACATACTTTCAGTTTAAAATTGCTGGTCAACAAAGTTTTAATTTAAAAGGGAAAAACTCATGATAAAAGGGAAATGAATTAATTGATAAAATACCTGTCTGTGAGCCAGACCCCCCTACCATCATGCACCCCCCCCCCAAATCCCAATAAATTGCATATCGTATTCCTTGTAACTATTTATTAAAAAAATCTGGTGTGCGCAACACGCAACTTTCACTTACTGCTCTACTTTGAATAGAAATTATTTTCTGGCAATGCTGGGCTATTATAACATTTTTTGAAGTGCCTTTTAAACGGAGCTAAAGCCTAAAGCTTACAAATAACAAGTTATTAAGACCATTATAATTACAAAATGTCTATTTAATATATGGACGGTAGGCAATAAAAATCTAGTCACTCCATCTGCTTCTACAAACCACACAACTTTCTTTGCTTTTATAAACCACAGAATGACTAACTCCAATTTCAACATTTTTGAGTAATGTCAATTTAGTGATAGTTTTAGTTGAAAAAGTTATCTATGCAGACAGTGAGTAAGTTGATTCCAGAGGTGATGATTGCAATGTAGAAATATAGAACTGAGAACAAAGGTATAAACTTAGGTACTTATTTCTTATGAAGGATACTTTACGTTCTGAGGTAAGATACTTTATTAAATATCTGTAGAAAAAAAGTTTTTTTAGTCTCAACAATTAAAAAAGTATATTTTAAATTTATACAAATTTCCGCCTCTTCAGGGGAAAAAACTAGAGACCATATCTTTCTTCCTAATTGTTCGATTTTAACGCATTTTTTTGTTTTTTTTAGGAAATTCCATAAACTTTTAAAAAACCATATAAAATATCGACAAAAAAGTGTATACTTTTTGAGTTATTCGGAATTTAATTTTACCATCCCTCTTAACTTTTTTCCAGCTTCTTTTCGTTGAAGTATATTATATAGATAAAGTTAAAGGGTGTCGAGAAAATGACTTTAGCGAAGTTTCATTGAAATCGGTACATTCGTTTAGGCACTACAGTCTATAGCAACGCAGGTTTTTCCGCATTTTTATTTTTTTCTCCTTTATTAACTTATCAAATTCTTTCAAAAAGTATATGTAGCATTTTTTCGTAACTCTGAATAATGCGAAATGATTAACTTTTTAAAATAAACCATATCAAAGGTACTTTAGAGGAAGACATATATGAACATTGGGCATTTAAGCCCTGTAAAGTGACATCAACGGGGATAAGACCTAAATGATATTAAAGACCACTTAATTATACAATGATACACCGAGTTTAATTCGAAATCATTAAAGCCGTTTTTGGGAAAATTGTAAAAATCTGTTTCAGCGTTCATATAAAGTGGCACTTCCGGTTAGCCAATTTTAACGAAAAAGTTACTGTCACATCCGGCTCATATACAAACCTTAAATACTTAATATCAGTTTCGTACTATTTTTCGTTTATGAGCTAGAATGTTAACATACACACACACACACATAGACCATTTTGCGACACTTGGTTATTTGGACTCAGAGGACTTCAAAACATGTATTTCCATTGAAAACTGAGATTGTCCCATGAAAATTTTCATGATTGCAATACTTACCATATATACGTAAGTGAAAGTAAAAAGCCTATGTTCCCACAAAAGAAAGTGAACACACTGTCCCAAAAATGGTGGACTGACGACTTTGACTTTAGTTAGTTTTTTGGTCACTGTGAATCAGCATTTGGCTTAATTTCATCATAGTTGATCTTTTATTAAAGCTCGATAGTCAAAGAATAATGAAACATTAAAAAATAATTGGCTTAGGCAATAAAAAACACCATTAAAGTCAATTTTTTTTGTTAAAAAACAATATGTTAAGTTGAAAATCAAGCGTTTGTAATTAAATGGCCAACAATAACGCAAAACGTGCTGAAATAAAACATCTGAAGAATATATTTTTCATTCTAAAACAATGATTATTTTTAAAATATTTGAAGCAGTTCAGTATAAAATGCACCTAAGCGATAGAAAAGCAGTGCTGGCATAGGTGCCTACAGGCCTCTACCACACCATTCAGTACTCATAAATGGCTTAGTTATAGTCCTATAATAACGTTTTTGGTACATTATATTGATTGTATTAATGAACAAATATTAACACAATAATTTAATTGTCAAAAAAAAATTTTTTTTAAATTTAACTTCCTTTATTTTATACGGAATTCGTTTAAGAAAACGAGATAGGAAGTGCCAAAATCACGGAAAAGAAAACAAGGATCAGTATCCATTATATAGCAAAACGAATATATAGTAGACAGAATATTTCAAGATGCTGCTGAAAGGGGGTCAAATGTTGGAGCAGTTTGGATGATATTAAGGGTTCTATGCAGATTTATTATGGTGAAGATCATTTTATCAGCAAGAAAGATTTGTTTGAAGCAACTGGCAAGTCAGCAGGTATGGACAAAGTAAACGAGGTTTATTATGGTGAAAACCAGTTTATTTTCGATTGCTACTTAAGTCGCACATTGGGTCTATCTTCTCTTTGTAGCAGGTTATAGAGAGGTCTATCAAGAAAGAGCTCTCCTTCTGTTTAGTGGATTTGCGAAAGATTTTTGAAGGAATCTGAAAGGAAAACTAGCTTTTCTGAAAAACAAGTAAATATTAGCACAATTCAAAGTGTGAGGCACTAAGCAGATAGATAGCTATTTTTATTTCTTGATGGACCTCTCTATTATCTATCTTCCCTTAAAGTGAAGACAGTCCGAATGTGCAACTTGAGTTTCTCAATCCATATCGCTCTTGCAATCGACCATATTTGTTATTCTAGCTTCTACGATTCTTGAGAAGAGTTTCTTTGGTACTATACAGGAATCGATCGGTATTACATTTCTTAGTATCTCCTTTCTTGTAAAGGGACAAAACTACAGTCCTTTCATATCATTTTCTGATGGCATATTATTCAATACACATTGAAAAAGTGGAGAAATATATCTTTACATTTGTTGCATATGTACGCGCAACAGTTCGATGTACTTCATCCAGACCTGCTGACTTGCCAATTGCTTCGAACAAATCTTTCTTGCTGATAAAACGGTCTTCACCATAATAAATCTGCATCGTCCCCTTAATATCATCCAAACTGCTCGAGCATTTGACCCCCATTTAGCAATATAATGGATTGTTTTCTTTTCCGATATTTTGGCACTTCCTTTCTCGTTCATTTGATGTATTTACCCAATTTTTGGGTTCAATTTCACGATTTCTTTCATCTTGAAATCAAATACTAACAATCAGTGTGTGTTATCTAAAAGAACTTATTGCTTCGCCCTTTCTATTTTTCTTTGTGCAGAGAGAATAATGCATTCAATACTAAAATTTCTTATTTTTTTATGATATGGTCCAACTTCTGAACAAAATAAAGGAAATAAAAATTAACTTTTTAATTAGTGACACATGAGTTTTACTAAAAAACCTGGCAACTATTCATTATATGTAGTTCAGATTAGGTATATATTATTTTGGTTTATAAAACAGGTATTAATATGACTCGTTTCCGGGGAAGTATATACAATTTAAATTACCTCTAAGAATCATTTATCAAAATAAGCTTCAAGACTTTGTGTTTAGAATTTCTCAATTTTATCATATAATTTATTTTATTAACGTGTTTTTTAATTTTTCCAAAAGTTGACTATTGCTTTTACTGTTGAAATTTGACAACCCTAATCTATATGTATGGAATTGTTGAAGATATCTTATAAAATCAAGGAATTCAGTAATAAGGATAATAAAAAACAACTTCATTTGATTAGATATAATATTCAAATTCTTACTGATATTTTAAAATTTATTTTCTAATAACAAATAGCAGTATTATATGAAGTGATAAATTTATAAAATGAACCACAATATGACATTCAATACTTCTTAAAAATATCCAGTAACAGACATTTGGTTTTGTTTACTAATCAATTGTTTGAGTAAACGGATTCCTTTATATAACATCAATCAATTATAATTTCAGTGGCACTTGATTTTTAAAACCCTCACACCAGATGTTTCATTTGATGCAAATGAAAATGGGAAAAATGGAAAGCCATGGCAAGCAGCATGGAAATCACCATTTTTATTTACTGCAATAACTGCACCACTAAAATTTGGATAATAAGATGCAATACGACCGATCAGCTTAGTAGCAGCACTCTTTGGTGTTATTCCATGTCTCATCATTTCCACAATTGTAGATCTGTAATTTGAAATTAGAATAAGAACAGACAGTTGCAACATAATTTGCTATGCTTATTATTTTTCTGTTGAACTATACAAATTAAATGAGGGTACTTTAAAAGGAAATAATAATTATTTTTTGGAACTGAAAAAGCTTGATTCTTTAACTGTCTAAAAAAAATGACAAAAATAACGGTGTTCAGACCTGTTTCAAATTCATTAGAACAGAACTCTTCAGTTACTGAGTAAACCATAAATCTACTAAGGATAGCGGTAGCTGAGAATAACCTTAACTCTAATTGATCTTAGAGAAACAATCAGTCCAGCATTAACAAGAACATGGCTTATGGAATTTAGAAGTTGATGTAATTTAGAAGAATTGAGTGATAATGATTTTACTTAAGCTGACTTGGACTGGCAATATGGATCCATTGACTTTCATATTAAAGAAAAGATAGTTTAACTTGCTTATGAAGCTGTAGCTGAATTAAGCAGATTAGATTGAGACCGAGCCCTTAAAAAAAGTATTAAACTTCAACAAGAAGTTAAAATGTTTTCATGAAAGCTATTGCTGTATAAGAATCAGCTTTAATATCACACTGCCTCAGATCTACAAGATAATGATGGGGCACATAAATAAATGGTATAATTTAAATATAATTAAAGTGTGATAGTAACAATAAAGTGTTTAAACACCTACGCTGCACTAAATCTCATCATAATATCTCCATCACCCGTTTCTACTGCAGCTCCAACAGCACTATCAGCATAAGCACCTGATCCAGGTATTGGCCCATCACCAACCCTTCTGAAATTAATAATCAATAACAACAAATAAAACAAGTGTATAATTGTTTTTAATATTATCACATTTTAATAAATTGATGGTAAGTTATTCTAATACAAAAAGAGTTGATTACATGAAGGCATCATTTATTATTGTTAATTCAATAATAAAAAAAATGCCTAAAGAAAGAAAGAAAGTGGCTTTTATTCTGAGACATCTAGTCCACTCAGAATAGCTATAATGAACAACGAAATGACAATTTTCTGGCAGATATGAATAATTAAAAATAAATTAATTTAAAAAGTTGTCTGACCCTAATATTAAAACAAAGAAAAGACACTGTAGTAAATTTATAATATAGAAGCAGACATATGAATTCAAAGATAAATACATATGAGTGAATTCACGTATTTGTACAAATAAGCAATATGGCACATACATAGATATCAGCAAGAAATCAGTAAAATGTAGCTGACACCTCTAAAATACAAAATAACTTTATTTTTACATATACCCGCCTTGACTACGGCTGCGTAGCTTACGGTGGCCTCTCATCGGAACTCGGAAACAGGCTAAAAAGAATCATGAATGGCTTAGTAAGATTTGTCAATAGAACCTCAAGACGTTCTCATGTTTCTCACTATTATGCTGAGTTACGGTGGATCTTTTCCTTCAGAAGACAATATCACCTAGGCACATTCCTTTACCAAATAATCTATAATCATCCTCCGTCCTACCCATACAATCTCCTTCAATTCAAGTCATCTATCCACTCCCTCTCCACAAGATACTGTTATTGTTTATTGTTAATTTCCTTCTGACCTTCATACCCCTTTCCACAAAGATGCCTCATTTCAACACTCCTTTATTGATCACCTCGAGCATCTCAGTAGGAAACAACGAAAGTTAGATTTGGAGATTGTCCACATATAAATGGTATTGTGAATGATGGATGGAATCAAGAAGGTATTAATGTAGATGGAGAAAAGAGTTGGAGAGAGCAAAGATCCGTGAGGAACACTACGAGTTAATAAGAGGGGGGAGGAAGGAGTTTTATTGGGAATGATGACTGTTTGGGATATTTGATACAAAAATTAATGGAACTACTTTAGAGGACTATTTGACATATCAACGGTCAAAGGTTTTGGACCATAGAAAGGTTTTGGAGTTTAGTAAGAAAGATTTCGTGATTAACGGAATCAAAATCTTATGAAAAATCAAAGAGAACTAGGATAGAGATTTACAATAGGAGAGAATGGAGATGGGTCTGAAATTGGGAACTCTGGAGAGAACCAGAACTTGGCTCAGTGGACGAACAATAAATTTTTTCCAAGAAGACGGGCAACTGGAATTTTGTAAGGAAAAATTGTAGATATGCATTAGGACAGAAAGACATAATTTGATTAACTTCAAACGAATTACGTCCGAACCATAGCTGTTTATTCTGGATTTTAGGATAGAGGAATGTAGGTCTTCTGGTAAAATATTTGTAAAATAGAAATTTTCAGGGTCAACGTTATATTAAATAATAATTAAAAATCCAATATAAACAAAAATAAACTTCAAGATACAAAGATCTATAAGTTTGAATAGACTGGAATGAATTATTTTGAATTGGTTAACATAAACAACATAATTAAAAAAAAAGAAGTTTTTTATAATGAAAATCAATCATACCAAATTATAATTTGTTACAAACCAGCAAAAGAGATATTATTATAAGTTGATTTTACAATTATTATTCTTTTATTTAAAAATTAAAACAATGTATTAATTTCCTAAAGGGGTAAGTAGACAAGCAGGGAAACGCTCCATTTCCTACAGTTTTTCTATAAAATTTAGATCGAAAAAAATTTGGGACTTCTAGTTCATGTACAAATATCATTTTGCAGAGCTACAGTACAGTAATCTGGCTATTACTGTGTTGTTGTTTTTTCAAGCAATATAGCTGCTATCAGTTCTCTATATTCATCACTTCAATGAATATTATATAGTGAACCGTAGCGACCATTCTCAAAATACAGTGTCAAAATCATACTTAGTGTTTCAATGAAAAAAACAAAACAATATTTTATAAGAGTATTACAAACCCCAAGGGCATTGGATTTTAATGAATACCAATTGGAAAAGAAGATAGACCAAATGAACTTAGTTTTGAACAAGGTAGTATGATAACAATTCAGGAAGAGTGTAACAAGTCAGACTTGATAAATCAAAATATTTTCATTAGATCTATCCAGAAGAGCTTCAAACCATGAACCAGTCTTGATAAAACAAATTAGCAGCATAAATCATTTTTATGAAAGAAATAATAGGTTCCATCACACATAAAAACTTGTTCGAGATTTTCCAATATTTCTAGATACCTTTTTTTAGTTATACCTTGTACTAAATTTTCATAAATATGACCAAAATATCATTAAAAAGATTAATTTAAATATATCTTTTAACACAAAATACCCTTTACACATTATAATGTAGCAATTTTCATTTATAATTCTGATAGCTAATATCCATGTGTAACTTCTGAATGTTGTGAGGCAACTAAATTAAGTATATAATTGGATTTAACTGATACTAACCCTGGAATTTTATTTTTTGCTCCATTGGTCGAAGTCCCAGCTGCAATCTTTTTATTTATATCAATAGCAATCATACCAATGGTATCATGGTTACTAAAGCCAACATTGTTCAATAACATACTTTTCTTTCTGCCACTATATCGATCAGGAGTATAAGGTCCACAATTTTTTAAGGGATCTGGCTTAACATTCTAAAAATGAAAAGTTTACTTCATAAAATAAAATTAAACAAAACATTGATAGTTGATGTAGAATTGGTGAAGAACTATGAGGCATAAGGTGCGATGATATGCAGACCTTAAATCTAAGTATCATGACTTTAAGACCTTAAATCTAAGCATAATGGTATCATGGTTACTAAAGCCAACATTGTTCAATAACAAACTTTTCTTCCTGCCACTATATCGATCAGGAGTATCAGGTCCACAATTATGTAAGAGATCTGGCTTAACATTCTAAAAATGAAAAGTTTACTTCATAAAATAAAATTAAACAAAACATTGATAGTGGATGTAGAATTGGTGAAGAACTATGAGGCATAAGGTGCGATGATGTGCAGACCTTAAATCTAAGCATCAGGCAATCAGGAGCAAGCTCTTATTCTTTTATATTAAGGGTATTAGAGATGTATAATAATATTATATATAAGGGAACTGATTACTATTGAAAAATGGAACACACTGACTAACAGTACACAAAACTAAAACACAGCACAGATCAATAATTGACCAAACCTCTAACAGAAAATGTTAATAACAAATATTAATAATATCAACTTAACATCATGTGGGCCAACATATGTAAAGAAAAGTTTTTCACTTTTAGATATCAATTTTATCCTTTTTATTTAAGTGACACAAGAAAAAAAAAACTAATACAAACCATATTACTTTTAAGTTTGATGGCCTTCACACTTGAAAGCACTCTATATTCGTACCTATACTTGAGTCAATGTACAGAATGGATTGTGACCTAATAATCCGGGAGCCGGTGGTAAAAAATATGTCATAATTCATACTAAGCTTTGTCCTTATAAATTGATCATATCCACAGACCTGATGAGAAAAATGCACGTCTGGCAGCATATATCCACTGGAATACAATTTTGAAATACACGGGTATGCGGTAACTGACTATTATTTCATGTCTTAATACTGTAAATACTAAAAATTGAAAGGGTTGGTAGCTTTATATATCTATAAGCCCTCTCCACATTTATGCTTACAATCTATGTAGGGTCTCTATCTATCTTCACATGGCATCCATTTTGTATTCCAGCGGTTATATGCTGGCAGCGTGCATTTTTCTCATCAGGCCTATGGATATGGTCAATTTATAAGGACAAACCTTAGTAAGAAATATGACACCTTTTTTGCCAGGGGCTTCTGGAATATAAGTGACAGGCCATGCTTTAAAATAGATTTCGATTCCAATGGGAAGATCAGTAACTTTAAATTGATGCTATCTAAATACCAATAAACAAAATATTGAGAGCTTAAAAATTGGCATATTAACATTCTGAAATTTATGAATATGGAAGAATTAACGAAACTAAAGAATATGGCTGAGCACTGGGAGGTAGTTCAGTATGATGTACACCATAGGACATAGGACACTAAGTATTAAAGGGTTAAAAAAAACTTTACATGTAAAAGCATCCCTTTCACTGATTTCAAAACCGACATAATGGTAAAATAAGTTTATTTGGACCAATTTACTGAAGCTAGAACGGCTACCAGAATCATTGTTGCTTTTGTACTTTATGTTATATAATTTTTAAATATAATTAATTTGCTATTGATTTACATTGATAACGACACTTTATTGCTTTACATTTATTATGTTAATACATGACAAGAAAAATAAAATAACTCAATTCTGATTACAATATAAAAAAATATTGGTAAATTTCATGTAGGTCATCTTTCTGCCTGCAAATGCCATAGTACTTACTATGGTCTTAGTTCAAAATTGTTTATTGTATTAAATATATTATTAACTCTGCCGAAGCCGGTACCAAGCCCAATTGAGAAAAGAGAAGGGATCCTTTGCAGCCTGATGGTGCACTTTAATAATAAGCACTACCTCAGGTCAGTAGTGACTGATTGCCATCTATGTTGTGAAGCAGAGGAGAGCTGACCTATCAGCTTAGAGGAGACAACCCCACTATCACGTTCTAGGTGCAGTTGACCTATCACGCACTTGTTTGAGAAGCAAATATGAAAAGTCAGAATAGAAATATAGCCAATCAGTTTACCGGCAACATGAGATGGCATGAAAAATGGTTAATACAAGTTGGAACATGGAATGTCATAAAATTGGACCGGACAGAATTGGTAAGTAAGATTATATTATTATTTGCTGATAACACGAGAATAAAATAAATTGCATATAAGTACTTTATCAGTTTGAGTAATTTTGATCACTATTTTTAAAAAGAGGAAAGCATTAACATTTCTTGGGAGAAGGGGAGACACGCTGATTGGCCTTGGGGTGGATGGGCACCCTCTGACCCAAGTAAAAAAGAAAACAGGTTATATTCTTCAAACAGTTATTTGGAATTCATCTTTCTATTATTTTTATGACATTGGTAATGATAGCCTGAATAGTAGCCCTTTTAGTTTGTAAAATTTTTAAAAGAGAAAACAAAAAATAAAATAAATAAGAGAGACTTTTGTCTAACTAAAAATTACTGTTAAACATAAATTATTGGAAGACTCCAAAACAACTCCCGAATGACAGTAAATAATATTTGCCAATTCAGACATCATCAGGATAAAAACTAAAAAATTATATTAAGACAAGAACACAAAAATACAGATAAAGAACATCACATCTAACATCAACATTATAAAAAAATAATAATCTAATAGAGATATTAAATCCTTCTAAGACTATTCAACATTATCAGCTTGGTTTGACAAGGTTCTAACTAGTCTAACCCCAATTTCCTTTAAAAAAAGGGTGTAAAAATTTGATTTGCCAACATTTTTTTGTTATTAATAAAATTTATCAATTCCATACTTATTTAGAACTAGAAATAGAAATAGAAAATAAATTTTATTCTGGGACTTTATTTCTTAAAATGGTAGTAATTTAACATTTGATGATGATTTAATAAACAAACAATTTGCCTCTAATTTTATAAACAGTAAGTCTATATGTAGTGAAAACATTGCCAGACAAAATGAAATTGACAAACATGGAAGTGGAGTAACAAGTGATTTAAATAAATAAATACATTTAATCTTAAAAAAGAGTAAGAAGCATCAATAATCTCATTTCAGTCAAAAATGTCACTATTGTCAAAGCAAGGTACAATATACTGAATAATTATGCCTGAATGGGTGAAATATTGAATAATTAGTTAATTACATTAGCTTTTTTTTCTTTTTTTTATTCTTACAATATTATTTTAACAATATTTTTTTTAAATAAAGTTGAAATCTAGGAAAAAAATAAGTAAATAAACACAATTAAATGCAAATGAAATTAATATAACATTATCAAAATAGCGCAACAAAGAAAATTTAAAAAATGCCTACTTTTATTTCAGAAAATTATAATGGTAGGCACAAACGTTCAAAATATGGAAATATTTTCATGAAAATAAAAACTTTCATATCATTAATTTAAACAATAGTTCAATAAAAAAAAAAAAATATTATTTAATTTAGCAATAATCTATGTATCTTATACTGACTTTCCAAAAATTAGGTTGACAGTTATTATTTTTCCAATCAGACCACATTGCTATAGAAACATTTGTGCTGAGATTTTCTTCTTTAAATCCCATGCTTTTTGCAAAATTTGTTGCAGACTCACCAACAAGTAAGGAATGTTGAGTATATTCCAAAACATGTCTGGCAACAGATATTGCAGATTTTATTTTTCTTAAATCTCCAACTGCACCCATATCCATCGAATCTCTATAAAAAGAAACCATTACCAATTAAAATAAAATAAGTTTTAAAATGTAAAATAGCTCTCACTGTTGTGCAGACAATGCTGTTCAGTACAGGTACAGGATACCCTGTTTGCATTGGGTTTTCCAGCAGGATTCCACTCCAGCCCACAAGGCCAGGTCAACTTAGCAGTGGCAGCAAAAGAATGTTCCAGAGTTCATCTCTGCCTCGGATTGGCCCTCAGGAAGCTCTGATCTCAACCCACTAGAATATCGGCTTTGGTCCGAACTGGAGATGATGGCATGCCACAGAGCACACCCTAACTTGGAAAGCCTCAAACAATCTCAGGTTCGAGCAGTTGAGCGCTTTCCTCAAGAAGTGATGCGAGCTGCTATTTATGAATGGCCACAGAGATTAAATGCCTGGGTCAAGGCAAAATGGGGACATTTTGAGTTTTTTTTTTACTCTCTATAGATATACATTATATTTTCTAATAAAGTTTTTGAAAAAATTAATTTAATTAAATTAAAATTAATTTTTTTTTTTAAATCTGTATGTACTTCCTTGCAACAATATTTATGACAGGACCAGGTATAGAACCAAAAACAAGTATATAAAATATATTGATCAATTCAGTATAAAGATGGTGAACCTGAACATTATTATGACTATGACTTACCCAAGGAAGGAGAAACAATGTTGTGAATTAGCTATCTGAGGATGGCTGCTAATCATTCATTAAATAATCATGATTAAATCGGCTAGCAAGAGTTGTAACAATTATTGTTACTTTAAAGATTTGATCAGTATATCTTATTACCATTAATCATTATTATGAAAAAGCAGCCATAATGTTTATACACACTTACGATTTTATACTGCAGATTTTCACATTCAAATAATAACAAATTAAAATAAAATGCCAGGGTAAAATGCTTTAGCATGCACAAAAAGTGTATAATTTTATTTTAAAACTTAAATGGACAGTATAACTTTGAGGCAGATAGTTTTAATCAGTCTTAATGTTCTGAACAAATAATTGTGGCTTAATCATATAACAAACTACATTAATTTAATTAAAGATAATAATACTTTGCTTATTCACCCATCAAAAATCATAGCATCTAGAGTAGTTTCTCCTGTTTCATCTGGACTTCCGCCATAACCAACAGTAGTGTCACATTGCTCCCTTTCACAAACCAGACAGCCTTCTTCAACTGCATCTAAAGCGTTTCCTGATCTAATGTTCATAGCATCCCAAGCTAAAACGAAAAACAAATGTTTCAACTTATTTATATAAGTGTGTGTGCACTTGTTTATATTTACTAGACAATCTTCACAGTACTAATTAACGTTTATTCAGTTTATTATCTGTTACGTTATAAAATTATCAACTAACTATTTTTCTCTTCCTGAAATTATTTATTCTTGAATGTTTCTAACCCAATGATAAAAAAAAATGAAGTATGGTACCTCACACTACTTTCACTTACCATTACATTTTTAGAAGAAATTATTATGATTATTATTTTTTTTTCTTTTTATAAAACCTTAAGAATATTACGTTAATTTTAAATATAAACTTACTACAATTAATTTAAAGAAGGGGTCTCCAAACTATGGCCCGCGAAAGCTTTCTTGATTATATGGTAAAATTCCAAGAATTTGCAGAAAAAAATCATTTTTATAATATGCGTTATTGTATGTATGTATAGATATTATTCTTGAAGAAAACTTAATTATTAAAAACGTTCTTCCCCATGACTTAATCGTATAACGAAGCAATCAAGAGTTAGCTAGTGAAATACAGTAAAAAACATGAGGCAATTTTTTTTTTCAAAATCAGCCATAGTTGAGGACGGGATATCTCGAAAACCAAGCGAGGTAGCGAGAAAAGGTATATATTCAATCATATTAAAAAATTTATCAATTTTAATTTTTTATAGAACGTCCTTGACGATGCGATGTTAATAAGATATACAGGATAGTTTTCCTGATATAAGCGAAAACACGAAAAAAGTGATCTTCTAGATCCCCCCCCCCAACATCTGACACACCACTTTGGATTGGGACTTTTAGTATGTCAACATCCATACTACATGTACATGTAGTAGTATCAACCAAATCTTCTGAAATCACCATATTGCCAACATCTCCCGACGGTCATTTGGTACCCTGAAACTATTCCATCGCTTCAGCCATCAGCTACCCATGCCAACATGTAGACTCCTAGTATTGTATCTCCCCCGACCTTGACTCGGCTGCGCGGTGTACGGTGGTCTCTCGGAGACAGACTGAAAGAATTATGAATGGCTTCGTAAGATTTGTCAATGAAACCCCGAGACGTTCTTCTCATGTTTCTCACCACTATGCCGGGTTAGGATGGCTCTTCTCCTCCTTCAAAAGACAATACTTCCAAGGTACATTTCTTTACCAAATAATCAATAATTATCGCCTGTCCTATGCATAAATTCTCCTCCAATTCAAGTCATCTATTCACTCTTTCTCCACAAGATCTCGTCCTTCTGACCTTTGCACTCCTTCCCATAGAATTGAATCATTTCAATACTCATTTTTGTTCGTTCCGCCATATTCTGGAATTCCATCCCGCTTAAAATCCGACCTGAACTGCACCTTCCTTGGCCACATTTAAAACCCTGATTCCAATTCCATTCATTCAGATGTAGGCTAATTATTTATTATGTAACAAGGTCTTACTTTTCTTTATACATCATTTTTCTTTTCTTTTGTTGTATGTCTTATCTGTAATGAATATGTTTTTTCCCTATTTACGAGTTTCTATCTTTTTGAGATGTTTCTATCTTTTTCCTATTCATGAGTTTCTATCTTTTTTAGATGTACTTTATTTTTTACTAATCTTGGACACACTCCCCTCTTTGTATATAAATATTTATTCATTATGATAGTTTGACCTTTGTTCTTTTTATAGTGGTTCATTTTCCGACTGGTCATTAATAAATTAATCAAAAATTGGCATTTGATTAATTTATTTATGACCAATATGCAAATGAACCACTATATATATTTATATATTTTTTTATCCTCTCAATCTATGTCTTAGTATATAAATGACAAAACTTATCTCTTTATTAAAATACCATTATGAGTATTTATTTACACATCATAAGGAATAGAAGTAAATCATTTATTAACTTTGGTTATTTTTTCCACTAATTTATTACAATTCATTACAATGGTTAGTTATAAAATCAATGTAATGTCCCTTTCCAACTTAATTTAGTAATCTTTATTTTATTGTTTTAACAGCTATCTAGCAGTATTGTAACCCTATTGCTTTTCTGCTCTCTTCTATATCGTATATCTTCATAGTTGTGTATATACTTGTCTTATTGTTTGATTTAGTAATTCTTTATTGAAATAGGTAGGTCTTTTGGTCAGATCTAATGTTAATTGTATGAACAATATTGTTATTCTTAAGGAATCACTAGCGGATCCAGGATTTAATTTATTCGAATCCAGCTTTTTTTTTCTTATTTATGACGATAATTACTTTGAAAAAATAAGAAGCAAAGCTGCGCAATAATAAGTGTTCAGGGGGGAGTATTTTGTCGGGTTTTTAAATTTTTGAGAGAGGCACATTTCAATAAGTTTACGAATTTTCGGAATGAAAAGTTTCAGAATAAAAGACATTGAGAAAACATGGAACAGACAGTAGCAAGTGTAATTGTGTATTAACTAAAATTTTTCTAATTCTACTGTCCCTTGCTCTATTTTTGAGAAAAGGTGGACAAAAAATATTTTGGGACAGGGGTGGGTGGAGGAGTAGGTTCTTGCGCCATCGATCTTGGGGGGGATGGGCACCCCTGAAACTAACTAGCTATATGAAATGGCGTTTAAGTGATTCTTAAAGTCCTGTTAAATTAGACGAACAATAATAATTTGAGAAATATTTTTTTCCATAAAACATGGTAATATTTTTCCATTTTGGGGGCCTCAGTCCGAAAGTAGATCCGCCTGTGTAAAGAACTATGTCCCAGAATAAAAATGTTTTTACTATTCTATTCTAATATATATATATATATATATATATATATATATATATATATATATATATATATATATATATATACATATATATATATATATATATATATATATACATATTTATATAAGGTGTCCCGTAAGTAGAGGGGAGTTATTGTAGGAGCAATAGCACCTCAAGAATTACAACAATGTTAATATAAACAATGGGGAAATTTTCAGGAGAAAATTAGCAAATTCAACTTTTGCTTTGGTAGAATAGAAAGAAACAACTAAAGAAATATTTAATTTAAGTAACTAATAATTGCTTCATTGTAAACTAGATAAAATTTACTTTAAACATTATGTAGTCCGGCCGCAAGAAACTCAGTAATAAACTTCACCCCAGATTATGAAAGAATAAGTGTGCTGCGCGTAAGAGGTCGTTGGTTTAGTATCACAATTATTAACGTGTATGCACCTACTGAGGAAAAAGTGGATGTGGTGAAGGAAGATTTCTACGACCAGTTAGAAAAATCAGATCTCAAAATATGAAATAAAATTAGTCACGGGAGACTTCAATGCCAAGATAGGTCGAGAAACCTAATTTAGGTCCATCAGGCTTTTTTTTTTTTTTTTTTTTTTTTTTTTTTTTTTTTTTTTTTTTGTTCTTCCCTACCTCGCCTTTTAGGCTATACGGGATTTTCCCGGGCCGGGGGGCGAGGGCGGGGAATTTAAAATCCCCTCCGGCACCGGGACGCGAACTCGTACTTTTTATATCATCTCAAATCTCTGTTATCCGGTTGCCAGGCAACTAGCGATGCTGTGCACACGCTTTAGCCTATTCGGCCACCCCGCCCCCTTTAGGCCCATCAGGCTAAAGTTTCCATGAAACCAGCAGTGATAATGGAGTCAGACTGTCAGGGAGCAGCTAAAGGTCAAGTAGTGAGCAGCACGATGTTCCCGCACAAGGACACACATAAGTACACCAGGGTAAGTCCTAAAGGCCAAAAAGCCAAATCAACCACGTGCTGATAGACGAGAGGCATCAAAGCTCCAAACAAGACATAAGGAGTTATCATGGCACAGATTGTGATTCGGACCATACTCTGATTAGAATCAAACTCTTTCAGAGACTGAAGCGAATCAATCAAATTGGGGACCAACTGGAAAGAAAGAGGTATGAAGTCCATAATTTGAAAAATCCTCAAGTACAGACTGAATTCTAAGACTCGCTCGGACTCTGTTAAGAGAAGCAGAGCAACTCGGGCTACAAGTCAGTGAAGATAAAACAAAATATAAGATAGCCAATAAAAATCCACCCTAATAGTAATAATACATGATCTGCGTGGACTCATGGATAGATTCAAATATCTCGGCTCCATAATAACCTCAATAAATGACGAACTAACTGAGATAGACCAGCGAATAACAAGTGCGAACAGAGCTTTCGTCTCTCTTTCAAGAGTATTGTAATCCAGAAAAACCTCCAGAAATCTCAAACTAATGGTGTACAACGCAGTGATAAAGCCAGTTTTGCTGTACGGCTATGAAACCTGGGCTCTACCTAGAAAGCATAATTGAGAGATTCGAAAGATAAGTCCTCCGCACAATAACAGGATCTGTCTGGGATCAGAACCTTAACACATGGAGGAGAAGGAACAATAAAGAAATGCTAAGAGAAAATGGTCAATATCTCATTATATGAAGGAAAGGGGGTTAAGATGGGCGGTGGGTGCATTTAGCACGAAGCAATCCATCAGGACGCCTTTACACAACAAGAATTCCAGAGTAGTAGGCAAGAGACCACATGGAAGGCCAAAAATCAGGTAGATAGATACCATAGACAAAGATACTGCTGAGCACCATATAGGCAGAGGTTGAGAAGGTTGGTTCAGGCGGCCAAAAATCTACAAGGTCTGTTGAGCCAACCGGAAAAAAAAGATATATATATATATACACTGACAGGCAAAAAATTCCACCCACTTGATTTTTTCATGTTTTCATCTAAAAATATTTCTGCTTTGGATTGGTCTATTGTTTTTAATGAATAAATAGGTAATCTTTTTGTTTGTTTTCAATTAGGAATGTTAATATAGAGGACAATAACCCTTAATCCTCAATTCAATGAAATGATTCTAGATTCCGATGTTTACTTTCTATGGAATTAAAATGTTTATTCAGTATCATTAGTTCAGTGCCGTTTCTTGCAGCACATTTCTTAGTCTCCGGCTTTTAATTTTTTCAATATTAAGTTTAA